CCTCAGGCCACACCAGACAACGTCGTCTTTCTCTTCTACCCACCCGACACATACTACAGCCCGGCTCATACCGTAGCAATATAAATATTATACCCTCCTCTGCTTTCTAAAACATAAGCTTCATGATGCCCCTAGCAATGTTAAATTACTGTCCTATTATCCTTTAGTAAGACCTAAATTAGAATACGCGAGGGCAGTATGGGGCCCATACACTCAAACTAACATCAAGTGCCTGGAAAGAATACAGAGAACAGCCATCCGGTTCATTTTTAACAAGTTCTCAGGAGTCGACTCTCCTTCTGAAATAATGAAAGCCAATAGCATTTTTCTTCTTAGCGCACATTCAAAACAGATAAGAATTGACTTTCTTTCTCTTCTTCTGAACCACAAACTTGTGATTGACCCATCGCCGTACCTGACACAGTTATCAACCAGACCCACAAGGCATCATCACGCCAAATTCCTAACACCTTATTTATGCAGGACAGACACTTGCAAGTACTCATATTTTTCATGCACGGTCTCAGATTGGAACGAAACAACTCAGGCATCCTCATAGAATCAATTTCTCCTTTGCTCTAAATAGCATTGTCTTGCAAATCCAGGTTTCTGATCTTTTATTACAGCGTTTTTCTTTTCCTTTTCTTTTTCTTCTTATGTGCTGTTCTTATTGTATACATATGTATTCATTTCTTTCTTGGCTTGAACTGTGAAAATTATTGTGTTTATTGTTTTGTATTTAATATGTATTTATTTTTACTTAAATCACACAGCATATACAGTATAGATTTATGGTGTCTTTTTTTTCTCTTTTGTCCGGTACATGCGTTATTACGAAATAATTTTCTATGTCGCTTCTTGTGTTCACTATGAGTGTATGAAACACTCAACCGAAACAATTTTTATGCCACTTATTGTATCAACTATGTCCTCTTGAAACTGCCCACCTGAAACTGACCAGCTTGCTATGAGCCGAGGCGGAAAGCAACAAAGGTTCTTTAGAACGAGGCTCGTAGCTGCAACATATTTGCGCTTCAGCTGTTTAAGTCATGGAATACCAACTAGCCTGCTCCCACCCCTTAATCCACAGCCACCATAGTTCTCTATAAAGAAAGTGACAGAATTCCAATAAAGAAGGGTGTAAGGCAAGGAGACACGATCTCTCCAATGGTATTTACCGCGTGTTTACAAGAGGTTTTCAGGGCTTTAGATTGGGAAAAGTTAGGCATGAGAGTTAATGGAGAGTATTTTAGTCAAATGCGATTCACTCATGACATTTCATTGATGAGTAACTCGGGATGATTTACAGCTCATTATTATTGAACTGGACAGAAAATCTGAAGAGTAGGTCTGAAAATAATATGCATAAAACTTAAGTAATGTGCAGCAGTCTTAGCAGAGAACAGCACTTTTTGATAAGTGGTGTGACACTGAAAGGTGTAAAGCAATATGGCTACGAAGGAGCAGCAGACTGTCACCATAAAAGTAGATGGGTTAACTTGAAAGTAAACATTCGACAGAACTGTGTCTGGTTGGGTATAAAACTGGGAGATGATTTAGACTCCAACCAAAAGTTTTGAGGAAACCCGAGGTTTCGGAACCAACTTGGTTCTTTCCTCAGGGGTGACTGCGGAGGCTACAAGCAGCGAGTTTTCAAAGCACTCGCAAGGGTGGCTAATGACCCCCCCTCTCACTCTCTCGTTTTGTAGTGGAGCGCAGTCCGTGTGAATGTACTGGGGGAAGGGTTTTGAGAGAGCGGTTGATATTATGGGCTGTCCTCTGTATGTGCCACGACTCGAGTAACAACCTTTTCCTCCAGTTCGGCTCGCTTTCAAGGATGGCCGTCGCTTCGAAATTTATTTTGTGATCGAACTTCTCAGCATGTTCGGCGACTGCGCTGCGCTCTTTGTAGAAATTCCGCACATCGCACATCGTTGGCGTGTTGCTTCAGTCGTTCCGGTAGGTTTTTCGTCTCGCCGATATACGACGAGGGGCACTCGGCACACGGAATTTTGTAAACAACACCGGGGCGCCTGTCCATTGTTGGCCGGTCTTTCGGGCGGGGAGGAGGCGGCCCAGCGTACACGAAGGCACGTGCGCGATGCGAACCCCTTCCTTCCTGAAGATCCGCTCTAACATCTCGCCGGTTCCCTGAACGTATGGAACCGGTACTCGTTTCGGGGGGCTGCCAATTGAGGTTGATTGGTGTTTTCGTATCCTCTGTTGCTCTGCGCAGCGGGTGGTGGCTCCAATGAAGTCTTTTGGGTATCCGTTTTTTCTGTGATCAGCAATTTCGCGGGCCTTCTCTTTCTTTCGCTCGGTGCCATTAGAGCATAAGTTCCTAGCTCTCCCCAGTACATGGTCACAACCGAGGCCTTGTGGCAGGCGGGGTGGAAAAAATCAAATTAAAGGTAGCGGGCAGTGTGCGTTGGCTTCCTATGAATGGAGAACTCCAGGCCGTTGCGATTTCTTGGCACCTGGACGTCGAGAAAAGGCAGACAGTGGTCGCTTTCACAATCGGTCGTGAATTGTATCGCTGGGTGCACGGAATTTAGGTGTTGTCTGAAGTTTTCAACTTCAGCCGTCTTAATGACGCAAAAGCAATCGTCGATATAACGCAGAAAAAGCTTGGGTCGCGGCAAGAAGGAGCTGAGTGCTTTCTCTTCTAAGTACTCTATGGTCAGGTTTCCCATCGTGACGGAGATGGAAGCTCTCATCGCCGTTCCACTGCTCTGCTTGAAAATAGTTCCTTTGTAGGAGAAGTATGTACTGGAGAGGCAGAACTCCAGTAGACGACAGAGCTCGTCAACCACCAAAGGAGTTCTTTCACTCAAGCTTGCGTTTTCCTCAAGTGTAGCTCAGGCAGCGGAGACAGCTAAGGGAACTGGCACGTTGGTGAACAATGAAATGATGTCAAACGAGACCAAGACCATGCTCTTGTCATTGCCAATCTCACATTTGACGCTAGCTGCACAAAGTGGCTGGCGTCACGGACATGAGTTGGTGTCTTCCGGGTTAGTGGGGCGAAGATTTGGTGTAGAAAATTTGAAAGGGCTCGGCATGGGGAGGAAGTGAAGTCTACAATCAGGTGGAGGGGGACGTCAGGCTGGTGAATTTTTGGTAGTCCATAAAAACTCGGTGCGGATCCGTTACTGTAGATTAGTCGCAAAAAAGGTGTTCTGAGATCCGGGTAATGCTTGAAATTTTCCTCGAGTAGCTTGTTTAGCTGTGTCTGGGTTTGTTTTGCTGGGTCCTTTACTAGCTGCGTGTATGCGTCCCCTTTTAAGAGTGCTGAAACCTTCCGATCGTAGTCCCCGCTGTCCAACACCACCGTCGAATTGCTCCTGTCGGCGGGCAAGATGACAATGCTTCGATCCCGTCGGAGTTCCCAAAGTGCCTGCTTCTCTTCCATGGTCAAGTCCTTTTTTTTTTGTGACAGTAATTTCGGAAGGTTCCCAATTGATTTCAGCCTAAGTTCTTCTCTGGCGCCCGGCCTCACGCTTTTGGATGGCTTCTTCTACAGCCGCGATAAGTTTTGGTAGACGGGGCGTCATTGACATGCTATAGCTATGTCCTTTTGCTAGCACAGAAGTTCCCCAATCAGTGAGTGGACGAGATGAAAGATTGGTGACAAACCTGGAATTTTGGGTGCTTTGGGTGGAACTCCGGTCTAACAGGTAGGAGAGTTTCTTATCCTGAATGGTCCGGTGCTTTTTTGCCATCGATGTCACAACGTAGTCCGCGAACGCATCGACCGCAGACATCAACTCAGGGATGCGGTGCTCAAGTTGACGCTTGGCGAAGAACACATCCAGTTCTTTTTTCCATAGAAAGGCGTTAATTTCATGAAGACGAAATTTTATTCTTCAGCTCTCGTGACGACTTCCAAGCCCTCAGGGGTCGGGACAGGTCGTTTTAGGCACCGGCTTTGAACAACTTTGTTTTCTTTGCAGGTGTGGCTGAAGTTGAGATGAGTCTTGAGGACTGAGATGCCTTTGTTAATGCATATGTTAATGCTTGACGAGCTGCATTGTATTGTGTCCGAAGTCTTGGCTGATTGACTTGAAAGTAAACATTCGACAGAAGTCTGTCTCATTGGGTATGAAACTGGGAGATGATTTAGACTCCAACCAAAAGTTTTGAAGAAACCCGACGTTTTGGAACCGACTTGGTTCCTTCCTCGGGGGCAACTGCGGAGGCTACAAGCAGCGTCGTCTTCAAAGCACTCGCGGTGTGGCTAATGACCTCTCTCTCTCTCTCATTTTGTCATGGAGCGCAGTCCGTGTAAATACACTGGGGGAAGGGTTGCAGTCTAAAAACTTTTGGTTGGAGTCTAAATCATCTCCTTAGATGGGTTAGAGTACGTTTGGCATGCATTCTCAAATTATTGTGATCTATCGCTATCTCTCAAGAGGGAGGTATATAGCATCACTATGGAGCAGGAACGTGAAAATTTATCAAGACGACTCCACTTGAGTTGAGCAGTATTTATAAATGCACAAATAAAAATATGTGTCTATGAATGAAAATGGGATTTTCGTGGATATGAGGTGTCATAAATTGTCATTGCCTTCTATTAAAAGTAGGAAACCGCTCAAACTCTTCGTTTTTTTTTCTTATAGCAGCACCCTTGTAAAAGCTCTCTAATAGCTCTACGGATTCTGAGGAATTTTTCCTGACCAAGAACCAAAGTTTTACATCTGTATACCATTCACTTGAATTGGCCATCACAAAAAAAAACTGAAAAAACTATGAGCACTTGAAACTCATTAACAAAAACAATACCTGTAACGGGAGGAAACATTTTCGGAAAAGGCCGCTGGGTGCAATGAAATGAAAATGAGTTGATGCACTGCTCAGTGCAGTGCTATTGGTGTTACCTTTTGGTCGTATTCTTATCAGAAGGTCGGGTCTTGTAAGGAACTGCAGTGGTGCAAACAAGCCTGGAACAGTGCACAAGTTAGGCAAGCTAGTAATCACTTTGTCATTGCATTTTCCAGCACCCGGGCGGTGCCACCTGTGTGCCTGCAGTCATTTGTGCCGAATCGGCTGCTGCTGAAATATGTACGTAACTCAAGCATCTCTTTATTCTTTGCACGGCATTTGCAGGGCAGATTGGCGGTGTCATTTGAAACTCGCACATCGTGTATCAGCAAAACAGTGAAACGCTTTTGCCGAATTCTGCTCAAGTGCAGGCACAAGGTGTGCACGCATGCATCACCCTCAATATTTCAGCATAGTGAGCATTCTTTGTGAAACAGGGCAGCTGAAGTAAACCCTGCCATCTGTTGTAGCAGAACAGGTGGTAGGTGACAATGTTGGGAATACTGATGACTTAGCTGAAGCCCCAAATCCGTGTTGCAGTCTATCGTGTGCTCGTGCAGTTGGCAGTGAGCAGCACTCATTGTCTGATTTTAGCAACTGCTGCCAGCGAGCGCAAGTTTCAAAAAATTGCCAAATAAGTGTGGTCATTTGCTCGCTTTTAACAACTTGTGGCGGGGAGCCAACCATAGAATAAATGTAACTGAGTACTTAAAGCTAGTTGCTGGGCTGGTTGCTACAAGCCTTCTCGATTTATCTCTTCCAGTATCTCTATAGCATCTTAGTATAGGAACAACATGGCACAATGAAAAACATTCGTTAGCACCAATCTTTGCTCGCACAAAAGCATTTCAGTATAGTTTCTTCCCTCGTACAGTTGCAGATTGGAATTTGTTGCAAAATAGCATATTCAGCTGTGATGGCATTGTTAGTAATATTCAATGCCATGTTCTAAAGTTTTAGCCCTTTGTGTTGTTAACACTTCTACTTGTTTTTACCACATGTTTTGATAGCCTTATTTTTAAATGATTGTCATACTACTTTTATTGTTCTTTTTGTTTCTCGTGTTTGCCCGTTGCATTGTTTGTATACTTAATTTTGGATTGTTAGTGAAGCCCATCCCACTTAAGCCAAAATGTTGGCTTGCAGTATTTCAAATAAATAAATTAATAAATAAATACAAAGGGATGCCCTGTTGTGTTCGGTGCTTTTCTCTATTAAAGTAATTAAAGTAAGCAAGTCTCAACTAGCTCAGTAGTAACAAGTTTTTCTAAGTGGCTCAAAACTCTACCACTTGCAGCCAGCCTGCCGTGTGCATCTGGCAGGCATTCTCAAATCATGAATGGCAGAAGTGGCGTAGCCAGGGGGCAGCACACTAGGCCTGTGCTCTCCTTGCCCCGAATTTCGTTTCGCCATGGCGTGTAGACGCCAAAATGGCGCTCTACCACACATGCCAGCTTGTGTTGCAACTTCTTGCTACACCCCTGCACGACAGGTACCACTTGACTGGAAGGCATATGACAGTAACATCTTACTGGTGTAATTGCCGATAGATCATAAACCTGGATGCTTACAGACAGGTTTAGGGCGTACTAAAACTTTAAAATGATGAAATTACTAAAAATGGAAAAACTAAAGTAATAGAAGTCAAAATGTGTGAAATTATGCATGTTTTGCCTACAGTTCTAGCTACAAAATGGTTGCCGTGGTTCAAATGTGACTTGGCAAGTATGTACCGTAAAAGGCCAAGCAAGCCCCCTCTCCAACAGTCAAAGGCTACTCTCCAACCAGATTTGGGGGTGGGGGCCGAAATTCTATATTGTGAGCTAAATATAAACAATGCCCACCCATGTTTCTAATAAATTCTTTATTTATTATTTTTATTCCCTCTCGTCACTGTCAAGCTTGTCAGAGTCAGACACAGAAGTTAATTCCGCGCTTTCAGTTTGCAGAGACCTGCAATCTTCTGGCGGTACATGGAGAGCCTTTGTGTCCATATTGAAGCAGTGCCCAGTTTGACCAATGTACGACTGGCCAGAATTTCGTGAACAACAATAGATACGCATTCAGTGTACTCATTTTTGTGGTTCTTTTTACACAAGTGAAGCTCGTCTTGAAAAAAAAAAAAAATTGGTCGCAGGGGAAGGGACGCTTGCTCAGTATTTCAGATCTCTCGAAAAAGGGGGGGTGGGCACTTGCTGACATTTTATAGTAGTGAGGACAATATGCCGTGCATCGTGCAAGTAACTTTAACAGTCACCAGATCTCTTAGTTTAAGTGCGCTATCATAACTTCAAAAATGCAGTGCAAGTTTAAAAACGAGAACGAAGATGAGACTGAAAGGGCGCCGAACATTGGTGTTCTTTCTGTCTAATTCTAGTTCTCGTATTTCTGTCGTGCATTTCCTCTGCAGTGCATAGCCCGAGACAACTCGGCCGCAAACTCTAAGTTCCTTGTAGTGCTAATGACAAGCTATTTGCCGTATTTACTCACAATTTTTCATTGCAATAAATCAGTTTTTTTTTTATTACCGCACGTAATAGGCGCACCTCGAACTTGGCCATGATTAGTTGTTCTGTACCGTATTTGCACGGTTTCAGTTCGACACCCTCTTACTTAACTGGAGTCAGAAAAAAAATGACCATAGCAGTGCTGCTTGGGTTCACTGAGTGAGGACGAAGGGCAGTTGCCTGGGCAACCTTTTCATTGATGCTGTACTGGTGTCATTTGCACTGGAACATGCGATTGCATTCTCAAGTGCACTTTGATTTTCCTGCCAGAAATAATGTGGTTGCTATTGCGTTTGCTACCTGGTCCCCAAATTCAAAAGCTTTTTGGCTTTCTGACATGAGCTTTCGCCTTTGCTGTCACTACGCAGGCTGCCCTTGGATCAGTGCCTGAGTGCGGTCTTTTCGACGTGCAATTTACATGTTGTCTCGCGACTTCCTGCGACAACATGCCAAACTGTAGACTAAGCCTGATCAGCTTTTGTTATTTTTCGGTAACAGTCAGTGGCGTTCAAAGTTGCGGTTTTGTATGGAGTCAACGGAACTCTTTGCGGCAGGCCTACTTGAAGGAAAAAAGGCATGCATGGGTGGATTGTGTAACACTCGAATGGCAGTTCGAAATTCGATTGCAGTGCCTTTGGATATGGGGTGCAGGGCCGTGAATTGAACATTCTCTACCGTTCAGCGTGCAACATATCGGTCTGGATAATGTGCATATCTCGGTGGCCTGAAACGTATTCTGGGAATTTCCGCGATGGTGCTTTCTTTTCATGGCTTTTTTTTTACTGCATTCATCCTGTCAGCAACAATGGTCTTTTTATGGTAATTTTTGTAAATATAGATGCTTGTAAACACAGCACATCACATCAATTCTCAGACACGCGAGACGACATGCTCAATATGTTTTGTGCTAGTGTAGCCTATGAAAAATGTTGTTTCGGCTGTAGTGCAGATATCATGATTTTGGCAACTTGCGGTATGAGTGGTCTATGCTGTAGTCATAAATAAAAGTTTTGGAAATTTTACACCATGCAAAAGGTGCACCCTGCACCGAATTTTCTGGAAAAAAAAAAAAGTGCGCCTATTATGCGAGTACATATTGTATATACACCATACACTTTTCTTGGTACTGGGCAACTTTGGTATGTTCTCGTTATGATTAGCAAGGCACTTTTAAGATCGTCACTCTTTGCGTTTCGATGCACATGCACATATCTCGTGATGGGGTTGGGCGGTTTGTATGTCTTGTCCTGACGTAGAAGTTCCAGAGAAGGTGACTTCGCTCACTGTAGTGTCTGCATTTGCGTAACAAGTATGCTGCTTGACACAAAGAAGCAGTTGTTAATTCACTCTCACCTGTGTGCATAGATTTAGGTGCAGAACTTTTGGTAGTCAAATTTTCCAGGGCCCCTCCTCTATAGCATCTCACATGGTTTTGGGGCCACCAGATATTATTGTCAATTCATGCTCATCCTATCCATACTTCTGCGCTTGTTACATCCTTCTTTGTGTTTAAGCAGTACGGGGAGATACGAATAAAAAAATGCAAGTTCTTTCCAAAATCGCAGACCGCTTATAATGTAGGCAGCAGAAGTCGCGAAGATCCGCACTATACGCGGTACCGCACTATATGCAAAGCAACCTTTCTTAAAGGCCGCAGCTGCACAAAACATGTTGAGCATATAGCTTTGCATTTACGATGATTGAAGCCTGCAATACGTCGTCCTTACAAGCATTCATATTTCTGAATGTTAAAAAAAGCATTACCAAAGAACCGCGTTGCTACATGCCTCGCCCATGTCCATTTATTCTTCATGATTTCAACTATGATAGCCTTAACCCTCGTTTGTTCCCTAATCCACTCTGCGTTCTTCTTGTCTCTTAAGGTTACACTTACCATTTTTTTTTCCATTGCTCGCTGCATCGTCCTCAATTTAAGCTGAACCCTCTTTGTAAGTCTCCAGGTTTCCTCTCTGTAGCTAAGTACCGGTAAGATACAGCTGTTATATACCTTCCTCTTGAGGGATAGTGGCAATCTTCTTGTCATAATTTGAGAGTGCTTGCCAAATGTGATCCACCCGACTCTTATTCTTCTAGTTGCTTCAGTCTCGTGGTTCGGCTCCGCGGTTATTACCTGCCCTAAGTAGACATAGTATTTTCCAATTTGAAGTGCACTATTATCTATCTCAAAGCGCTGCTTTCTACCGAGGTTGTTGTACATTACTTTCGTTTTCTGCAGATTAATTTTAAGACCCACCTTTCTGCTCTCCTTGTCTAACTCCTTAATCATGAGTTGCAATTCGTCCACTGAGTTACTCAGCAATGGGATGTCGACAGCTGCAGAACTTGCGGCCATACGTGCAGCTCTGGAGTTTATAGTGAAAGAACCTTCGGGAATTTGGTCTATCTTCTCGGACTCGAAAGCATCTCTTCAATGTCTTATGTCACCCTGTTGCCATGGACCTAATGAACAGTTAGTAGATGAAATAAGGCTTCTTCATCACCAAGCAATCGAAAAACAGCACAGCATAGTGTATCAGTGGATACCAGGTCATTGCGGTATATTTGGCAATGACCGCGCAGATGAGGCCGCTAGATCTGCACACGATGGTACCCAATACACAGCCATAGCGTTCAAGAACCGACGCATCTACAAGACTTCGTTCGCTTGCACGTGACCTCACACTGGTACAGTGGAACTCAACAGACTTCACAAACGCGCGCCTGCATAACTTG